ACCCTATACCATTTCAGACAAATGGTTGTCCAATATCTTCTTAAAAGCTTCCAGTTGGAGCATTCACAACTTCTGGAGGCAACTTCTGTTCCACTGATTAATTGTTCTAGCTGTCTAAGGAAATTTCTCCTCGGTTCTAAGTTGCTTCTCTCCTTGATTAGTTTCCACCCGTTGCTTCTTGTCCTGCCCTCAGGTGCCTTGGAGAATAGTTTGACTCCCTACTCAACATCTTGCCGCTTCTCATTTTGTCCCCTTGCTTTTTTTTTTTTCCAGTTATCTGTGCAACATGAGCTTCCAGCGATTTTTCATCTGCGCAATGATTTCTACGTATCTTATCCTCCTCCGGTTCTTGACGTTTTCATTCCTTTTTCTCTTCCTCCCGCAGTACCGATGGAGGCGCTCAAAGGAGATTACGACCTGAATGCGGTTCGACTTTGTTTCCAGGTCTGGATCCGGGATACGAACACGGGGCACTTGATTCAGCTGCCCCTGGTGTTCTCCCAACCCATCTACGACAATCGTGAGTGATGGCCAGAAGCCTTGGTTTAGAGTAGGTGTGTCAAAATCGAGGGCTGGATCCATGTTTTGGGCATGTTTACCGTTTCCCCCCCGAAAATAAGACCCTGACTTATATTTTTTGAACTCCAAAATAAGCGTTTGGCCTTATTGTCGGGGAGGACGCATTATATTGGGGCTCTTGGAGCAAGACAGAACTCCTCTTGCCGTCTTACTTGATTTCCACCTCTTGTCTCTCTAACCCTAACCAGAGGAAATGCCGGGGACCAGCTGCATTAAAATGTTTTTGGGGAGGGCTTGTTTTAGCGCATGGGCTCAAAAAGTCCAATTGGGGTTATTATCAGGACTGGCTTGCGGTGCCTCTGCCAGCGGAAACAGAGCTTGGCAGGGCTAGCAAAGGACTAGCCAGGACTAGGAAAAGGAATTAAAAGCAAAACAAAAGGAGAAATGTTTTCCCTTTTTCGCATTTGAGCATGCAGGAAGAGACAGGAAAGGGAAAGAGGGAAGACAAAGGAAAAGATGGGAAGAGAGCAAGGAAGGAAAAAGAAGGAAAGAGGGGAAGGAAGAAGAAAGGGGAAGGAAGAGGGAAGGAAAACAGGAGAGAAGGGAAGGAAGGAAAAAGAGAAAGAAGGAAAAGTCAAAAAGAAAGGGAAACAGAGGGAGGGATCGGAAAGAATGATAGGAGACAGAGGAAGGAAGGAAGGAAAAAGAAAGAGAAAGTAAAAAAAGAAAGGGAAATGGAGGGCGGGACAGAGGACAGAAAGATAGACAAAGGAAGGAAGGAGATAGAGAAAGAAGTAAAGGAAGAGAAATGGAGGAAGAGATAGAGGAAAAAAGATAGACGAAGGAAGGAAGGAGAAAGAAGTAAAGAATGGGAAATGGAGGAAGGGATAGAGGAAAGAAAGATAGACGAAGGAAGGAGAAAGAAGTAAAGAATGGGAAATCGAGGAAGGGACAGAGGAAAGAAAGATAGACGAAGATAGATGAAGGAAGGCAGGAGAAAAGTAAAAAAGGAAGAGAAATGGAGGGAGGGACAGAGAAAAGAAAGACAGACGAAGGAAGGAAAGAAGGAGAAAGAGAAGTATAAAAGAAAGAGAAATAGAGGAAAGGACAGAGGAAAGAAAGATAGGAGACAGAAACCGGAAGGAAGATTATAAGGAGAGGGAGGGAGGGTCTCAGGGAAGTCCTGCCTTAGCACTTGGCCACCACAGGTGCCCCTGACATGCCCATCCTGGCCACACCCCCAGACCCATCACGCCCCCCCCCCAGACCCCGCTGAGGTCAAACCCAACCCTGATGCAGCCCTCAATGAAATCAAGTTTGACACCCCTGGTTTAGAGGAATAGATTGAGTTACTGATCCAATAGCGGATTGTAAGTGTGAGGACCAGGCGTAACTCCCATTTTTCAGTGCCATTGTGTCTCTTCGAACCGCCGCCGAATAAACGGTCATAAGTCAAGAATGACCCGTCCTGAGTTTTGTCTTGTTTCTCCTTCCACCGTTCTGTAGGTGCGCCCAATACAGCCGAGCTGAAAATTTGCCGCGTCAACCGCAATTCGGGGACCTGCCTGGGCGGAGATGAAATCTTCCTCCTCTGTGACAAAGTGCAGAAAGGTAGGGCCTTCCCCCCCCCCCCCCAAACACCCCTGGGAAATTTTTAAAAGTCTCCCCGATCCTAAAGGGCTTTTTTCCAAAAGCAACTGGACTTTTGTTTCTTCTTGAAGAGGTTTCGCTTCTCATCCAAGAAGCTGCTTCAGTTCTGACTGAAGGGTGAAGGACGATGTCAGCGCTCCAAATATCATCCAGAATTAAATCAGAGTCCAAGGCAATAGCTTTCATCAAAGTTCCAATTCAATAAGAGAGACATGTTGGTACAAACTCTGGAAGCCCGGATCTGAAAGCTTCCTGGGGTTTCCCCCCCAGTTGAAAGTTCAAAACCTTTCCCCCCACACCCACAAGTCCATCACATGGTCCAATATTCCTCTGCCACACTGGCATTTCCATCCATCTAGTTCCGGTCAGGTGCGGAGGCAAAAGATGACCTTAGGTTTCTGGAAAAGAATGTTTTATTATGACGACAACACATTCTGCTCCTTACTATTCCCCACTAATGAAACAGCATAGAAAAAATAATAGGCCAAAGACGGCCGGCCTGACAGACGGAAGGATTGATACTCCTTGCAGACAGCTGGTCCTTTACGTCCTTTTAGAGAGTCGTTGAGGCCACTTGGAGGTTTATCTCTGCCCTGAGTAGCGCAAATGAGCGTGGAATCTTCTTGGAACTGCTGTGAAAGGACCGTGTTTGTAAACCCACTAAAACGCCTTTCAGCATTTCCAAGGAGTTTCCACGCTCGTTTGCACTGTTCTGGTGACTCCAAGGGCACAAATAAGCCTCCAAGTGGCCTCAACGATTCTCAGAGGGAGTACCAACAAGCAGATGACTGCAAGGAACCTAAATCTTTCCGTCCTCCACCGTTCAGTCTGATCTGAAGACGTTTCTTGGACGAGAAGCAAAACATCTTCAAGTAAAAACAAAGAAAGCCCAGTTGCCTTTGGAAAAAGGACTTCTGGGATTTCCAGAATGTTAGTTTTATCTACTAGCTGGTGAAATCGGGCTTGATAAGTTGACACTTAAAGCTTGAAAATTAATGTAGAATGTGTAACTCCTTAGCATCAGAGCGTGTTTGTATAAGACAATAGGCAGTTTGAACAGAGTTCTTTTCAGCTGGGGAGGGGAAGTAGAATGTCTAATTCCTTAGCATCAGAACATGTTCGTATAAGGCAACTGGCAGTTGAAACAGAGTTCTTTTCAGGTGGGGAAGGGGAGTAGAATGTCTAATTCCTTAGCATCAGAACATGTTCGTATAAGGCAACTGGCAGTTGGAACAGAGTTCTTTTCAGATGGGGAGTGGAAGTAGAATGTTTAATTCCTTAGCATCAGAGCATGTTCGTATAAGGCAACTGGCAGTTGGAACAGTTCTTTTCAGGTGGGGAGGGGAAGTAGAATGTTTAACTCTTAGCATCAGTGTGTTAATATAATACTGTATAACGAATACTAATGATCTGATGGTCCTTCCTTTGATGGCTTCTCCAACATCTCTGCTTCTGTTCCAGAGGACATCGAAGTCCGCTTTTTCAAGGATTCCTGGGAAGCAAAAGGGTCCTTCTCGCAGGCCGATGTACACCGCCAGGTGGCCATTGTCTTCAAGACGCCACCCTACGCGGATCAGACAATCCGTGAACCCGTGACGGTTCAGATGCAGCTGCACCGTCCCTCCGACAAAGAAGTCAGTGGCTCCATGGAATTCCGTTACCTCCCGGATGAAGGTATCCATTTAATGTTAAAATGTTAAAATTGCAGTCGGGGAAATCGGAGAAATCTCAATCTTTAGTCGGGGTGGGAGGTTGGGAAACATTATACCAATATTACAGAAGTGCGTAAATTGGGCTCACTCTATTCAGGGCTTTATTTTGGCATATTCTTGGCATATTGATGAGCACGTATGGGTGCAGCTGCTGATCCTTTGAGCAGGATAATAATGGGAAAGCTTTCCTGTCCATAAAAAATAAATTGGGCCTAGTAATTATGACGCCAGGTGGGAAACCAGAGGCTGTGAATTCTAGTTCCATCTTAGCCATGAAAGTCAGCTCTGTCCCTTTGGGCCAATCACCAGGAGACTGTGAGTTCTAGTCCCATTTTAGCCATGAGAGCTGAGGGAAGTCACTTTTGGCCAATCACCAGGAAACTGTGAGTTCTAGTCCCCTCTTAGGCATGAAAACTGGCTGGATGACTTTGGGCCAATCATCAGGAACCGGTGCGTTCTAGTCCTGCCTTAGGTCTGAAAGCCAGCTGAATGATTTAGGGCCAATCACCAGGAGATAGTGAGTTCTAGTTCCATCTTTGACATGAAAGTTGTGGATATGTCACTTTGGGCTAGTCACCAGGAGACGGTGAGTTCTAGTCCTGCCTTGCCCATGAAAGCCAGATTGTTGGCTTGGGGCCAGTCACCAGGAGATGGTGAGTTCTAGTCCTGCCTTAAGTCTGAAAAGCCAGCTGAGTGATTTAGGGCCAATCACCAGGAGATAGTGAGTTCTAGTTCCATCTTTGACATGAAAGTTGTGGATATGTCACTTTGGGCCAGTCACCAGGAGACGGTGAGTTCTATTCCTGCCTTACCCATGAAAGCCAGATTGTTGGCTTGGGACCAGTCACCAGGAGATGGTGAGTTCTAGTCCTGCCTTAGGTCTGAAAGGCCAGCTGAGTGATTTAGGGCCAATCACCAGGAGATAGTGAGTTCTAGTCCCATCTTTGGCATGGAAGCCAGCTGGGTGACCTTGGGCCAGCTAGTCTGAGTCCAACCCTCCTCACAGGATTGTTATTGCAGGGAGAAAAGGAGGCAGAAGGAATATTGGAAGGAATATTATAAAAATAATAAAAGACATGATTTTTTTTAAAAATTACCTATCTTATCTATCTCCATTGACTCCCCCCCCCCCTCTCCTTCCTCTCTTTGCCAGGCGATTTCCATCGAATCGAGGAGAAGCGCAAACGAACCCTGGGCACTTTTAAAACCTTCGTACAGAAAACACCTTTTGCAGGTAAAAAAGGTGGCAAACTTTAAAGAAACAGAGAGAGAGGGGGGGGAGAGAGAGAGAGGGGAGAGAGAGAGAGAGAGANCAAGGAAATTAAATCCCCCTCCCTCTCCAAGTTGGATCTACCTCCTGCTGTACATGGGGGAAATCGAATACAGTGGGCTTCAAATCGATCAACCTGATGGGGGGGTATATAATGCCATGCTCAAAATGCAATGCAAATTGACTTCATGGCCACAATCAGAACAGGGCATTTCTGTTGCTGGAGTAAGACGGTTGAGAGGGTCCTTACTGGATTTTACAACCTTTTTTGCCCATGGTTGCTAAGCGAATCACTGTATAGTTATTAAGCGATTCAGGCAGTGTGTTGGCCTGGGAAAGGGGTTGTCTTCTACAGTATTAATACTTCATTTGCTCTTTCCTTCCTTCCTTTCCTCCTTCCCTCCTTCCTCTCTCTCCTTCCCTTCCTTCCCTCCCTCCCTTCCTTTCTTTCCCTCCTTCCTTCCTTTCTCTCCTTTCCTTCCTTCCTTCCTTCCCTCCCTTCCCTCCCTTTCTTCCTTCTCATTCTTTCCTTCCTTCCTTGTTTCTTTTCCTTGCTTCTCTTTCTCTTTTCCTATCTTCTTTCTTTCTCTTTTCCTTGCTTCTTTCTCTTTCCTTCCTTCCTCTCTCCCTTTCCCCCTACTTTCTCAATTCTTTCTCTTTCCCTTTCCATTTACCTCTTTTCTTTCCTTCTCCCTCCTTCCCTTCCTTGTATCTCGTGTTTCTTTCCCTCCTTCCCATCCCTCCTGGGCTCCCTTTCCTTCTCCCTTCTCCTTTCCCTATCCTCCTTCCCGCCCTCAAGAACCCGCCCCCAGCAGCAACCCCATGGTGGAAATAATCGAGCAGCCCAAACAGCGGGGGATGCGCTTCCGTTACCAGTGCGAGGGCCGCCTGGCCGGCTCCATCCCGGGGGAACGCAGCACCGACACCACCAAGACCCACCCCACCATCAAGGTCAGCCTTCCCGGCTCCTCCCCCTCCCCTGCCCAGAAAGACTCCATTTCCCAGAAGCCTTTGCACCAGGTTGCTTTCAAAATCCAGGTCCCTTTTCATCCCATCCGGGCCAAAGGAAAACCTGGTGTGATGTCACAGCACGTCCAGCCACGAAGAAAGGGATGAGGGACACTCCCTGGGCAGCCTCCCTGGGTGGAAAACTTACATCCGGACACGCTCGCGCTGACGGGCAGCCATTTTGCGAATGCGCCCCCATGAAATCAAACCTTTCTTTCCCCAGAGAGGTGGTGTGGCCCGCCAGCGGAGCTAGTGGCAGATTCAGACAGTGAGGAGGGTTGGGGAGGAACCTGGGCCAGTCCTGGAGTCTGGGGAAGGCTCGGAGGAGGGCTCTGTGTCGGAGGCAGAG